TCAGACATGTAAATTCAAGCTACTGAAACTATGCATGAATTCAAGACTCTTATCTACTCTAGACATTCTGAATTGGCCAGGGCACATGGAGCCTCTGGGCTAGGAAGATACTTCCTTGAATTCCAACAATGACTATTTACAATGTATATTTGGACTGAATGGCCTGTCTACTGTAGCCCACAGCTAAAGGTGAGAGAAAGGAGCGGAGGAATGCCATTTTAAACAGTGACAGCTTGGTTTTGAAAAGGAAGACAGGATTTGATCCCACAATGCAAAGGCACACAGAAGTAATGCTTTTCAGACAGGATTTATCCAAATTTTCCCAACAATAGATAGATAGATGGTGATTCCCACTGAACCGTCCTCAGAGAGTGAGAGACTGGCCCACTCCCCACACTCACCTCCAACACATTGTAGGCGTCTCCCGGCACCTGCCACCTGAAGCACCACCTCACCCTGCCTAAGGGCAGATCTGGTCTGCTCCTTCTTGGAAAATCAACAGCCTTCGGATGGAATATCTTGGGCCAGACAGACCGCGAGCAGACTACGTATGAGGTAGCTTCATATGAGGAAGGATTTGAATGAAGGGACACACTGGGAAATGGAAAAACATGTCATAGAATAGTTGGAAGGGGCCTGGGAATCATCAGCTTCGTCTCTTGCCTAGTGCAGGACTCCCAGTTAAACCACCCCTCTCAGAGGGCTGTCCAGTGGCATCTTGAATGCCCCAAGTGTGGGAGAGCCCAGGACCTCCCTAGGTCTTTAGCTCCACTGTTGTACTGCTCTGACAATCAGGAGGTTTTTCCTGATATCTGGCTGGAATCTGACTTCCTGTAACTTGAGCCTGTTATTCTCTGTCCTGCACTCTGGGACGATCGATCGAGGAGAGATCCTGGTCTTCTCTTTGTGGCAGCCTTTCAAGTACTTGTGGAGTGGTATCCTGTCTCCCCTCTGTCTTCTCAAGGCTAAACTTGCCCAGCTTTTCCAGTCTCTCCTCATAGGCCTGTGTTGCCAGCCCTGTGATCGATCACCCTTGTTGCCCTCCTCTGAACCCCTCCCAGCTTGCCTGCGTCTTTCTTCAACTGTGGTGCCCAGAACTGGACACAGGACTCCACTTTTGGCCTAACCAGGTGCTGAGTAAAGGGAGAAGAAGAAACACATGTTATTCAAGAAACACCGCGTGGGGATGTTGCTCTTCGGGATTCCAGCTGCTCCATCTGATTTCTTCTCTCCTACCCAGTTTTTGGGTATTTCCCCAGCAGCCAGGCAGCATTCTGTGGTCACTGAGTAGGCTTAGTCCTCACGGGGTGACTTTTGGGGTCCCCTCCCTTAGCATTCCCCTGCAAAGAATGCTTGTACTTCTACTAACCTTTTGGTTTCCTCCAAGGCTGTGAAAGCCTCTCTTATGCATGGATTGTGTCTTTTTTTCCTAAAAAAACAAAAGCAACAGCACTTACATCCTGAATGTCAGAAGCGCCTAATTTTCATTACGTATCTATCCTGCCTTTTTCCCTCCAAAGAACCCAAGAGAAAAGGATCACAACATCTTTTCCCTCTGCAATGGTCTGTGAGGTGGGTCAGGCTGAGAGCCAGTGGCTGACCAAAGTCATCGAGTGAGTTTCGCGGCCAAGCAGGGAGTAGAACCCAGATCTCCTGAGCTCCAGTCCAGCACCTTAACCGCTACCCCACTCTGGCGTGATCCTTCTGAGGGAAGGAGCCTCCACAGCATGGCCTCGGCCAATGGACCACCTCTGCATCATTACGCCTGTAGGAGTGAAGCACAGCACCCTCTCTGCTTCCACCTAAAGACTGACCTTGCCCGCTTCCCATACTCCAGAGGAGACAAAAGAAGAGCTTGTGTCTCACATGACATCCTGGGGCTCTGTCATAATTAACTCATGGATTTTTCCATAAGTCCCAGAGGTCAGCCGCTTCGACAGCAGGCAGGACAGGAACTCAATCTACAGAAAAGCACGGATTGATTTTCCAGTCATTACAGAAGTGCTGCCCACGGGCCACGTGGCCACTTGCCGGCACACCAGTCGGGGGCTGTGCTTGCCTTGAGTGGCTGCCTTGTCACCCAGGGATGTCCATGGTGGCCCTTTCCTGGCTGTCCATCTCCGTGGCCCCAGGAAAAAGCACAATGCTATGTGTGGTTCTGCCTGTAAAAATGAGGCGAAAGGTGTAAGAGCCAGTTTCAAGTAAAGTTATAATAAGCAGCTCCCCCACTTCATCTCCACATTTGGAGCACCTTCATCAGGACACTACCTGGTGAAGCCGTGAAAATCACCAGGTGTCCTTGGACCAAGTGCTCTTCTCTTAGCCTTCTCCAACCTAGGGCCCCCCAGATGTGTAGGACAACAACCAGCCAGCTGGGGGATTACGAGGTTTTGGGTCCAGAACATCTGCAAGCCCCAAGCTGGGCCAGCTATTCAGCCTGCCTCTCAAAGAACGATATGTGGCGATATACAGAAAATAGAACGTTTTTCCCCCAGAAGTTTCACCCACACCCAGGGGCATGGAGTGTGTGGTTCTCTAGATGCTGGTGGCCTGCAACTCCCATCAGCTCCAGCCAGCAGGGCCAGTGGTGGGGGCTGGTAGGGTTTGCATTCCACCAACAGCTGGAGGACCACAGGCCCCCCGACACACCCTTGCACAGCCAGGGGTGGGCTTCATAGGAAGAACAGAAGCTGCCTCATGCTGAGTCAGCCCATGGGTTCATTTAACCCATCCATGTTGACACCGACTGGCAGCAATGGTTCGCTCAAGTTTCAGGTGGGTTCTTCCAGCCCTACCTGGAGATGCCAGGTGTTGGATGCATGCAACCCTCCAACCATTCATGGACCACCCTGTGTGTTCCCAGGTTGCTGCGGCCTCTTTTGTTCCCTCCCATTCACTTCTGCAGCAGCCCAAGAAAACACTACCTTTGGCCAAACTGCCAATGAGAGGAACACCTTGAGATGCACGTATGAGGTGGCTTTGTGCCGAGTCCACCTCACTGCTAAGGAATGTTGGACTTGGCAAGCCTACACAGACACTCCTGGTAATGACAGGCGTCTCTCTAGTAGGTAATCGCCATCATCATAATTTCTGGCAGCTTATTGCTCGGCTGTGTGACATCACCTCTTTCTCTGCCGCGGGCAGGTCAAGTGTCTCTCCGGGAAGGCGCCGCACGTGAGTCTACCTGCACGCTCCCCAGCATGCTCATTCCTGAGGAGACTCAGGGCAAGTGACCCACATCCATCGTTTTGGAGCAGGGCTATCAGCCGGGCGGGGCTCTGGGTCACCTGGGGTGTTGTCTCTTGGCACACACGCAACGGCCAGGTTCACACAACATGGGAAACTCCTGGAGAATCGTAACCCTGCGCTGGGGTTAAAATCCCTCTGTGCCCGGCAATCGGGGCTGCTGGCCTCCTCTTCCTCCCCGCTTCCCCATCCGGCCTTTCCCTCAGCTCCAGAACGCAAGACAATCCTTTACCATGCAGATCTTTGCTAAAACTTCACCGCTAACAAGTCAGTGTAGCCTAAATAGCCTTTGGTCAAGCTGGAAGGAGAAGCCTCTGCTCACATCAAGAGCTGAACCCAAACTGGAAGCTTCTCCTGAGCCCCCTCCTTTCCGGGAGTTCTGTGGATCGACTATCAGGGTTGTTTCCCGGGTAAAGAGTTGGCCGGCATGATCGACGCAGGCCTTCCAACGGGGTTGCTTACCCCTCCTCACACCTCACTGCGGGGTCAAGGACTGGGTTAGGGTCCTCTCCTGGAATGCCTCCTTCTCTTCCAAAACCAGCCTGGAAAATGACAAGAACCTTGAAGGATCTTCAGAGGCTCCTGTCCCTGCACCCCACGTCCTCGTCTAACCCTAACCCATGACGTGTCTCCCTGAACAGGCAGCCAAGCCCGAGTGCCCAGCCCACGCACTGCACAGGCCTCTAGTGGTACCCCAAGGGATGCGGCAGGAGGACCAGGGTGCTCCTTGAGTGTGGCTGGCCATGTTGTCCTCTCTTCTTCAACTCTCCCCACGGGAGGTGTGCGTAAAGCTGCCTTATGCCAAGCAAGACCTTGACCATCTAGCTCAGTGCTGCCAACAAAGCCTGCCAGCTGCTCTTCAACTTACATATTTATTTAAGACATTTTTATACCATTCCTATTTAGTCAATGACTCTCATATGACTTTACAACTTATTAAAAATTTTAAAATATAACATGCACAGTCATTTAAATTTTAAAAATCACAGGATAAAATGTAATAAAAATATCAGAATAATAAAACAGAGGATAAAATCAGAAATGCAATCCAATAAAATTAATTATGAAATCAATTAAATCAAAAGCAAATTAAGCAATGTTTCAGGCAGGAGTTTTTTGAATCCTTAGACTCCAAAAACTGCAAACAACACAGATACACTCAGCTAGTCCATATAGTCCTGTACTTTGAATACAATGATCTCAAACTCTACAATCGCTATTCTTTCTGCCTGCCTTCTTTGACATTTTTCCATGATCTGCCATTCTCACGTAAAGGTGTAATCACCTTTATTTTGCTATAAATACACCTGAGAAAGCACAAGCCTTGGTGTGTGTTTTATGTCTTGAGTTGGGGACACAAAAGGGTTCCTCGAAAAGGGCAGTGAAGTGCACCGCAAGAGGGCGCATGCATGTGCAAAGCTCCCCCTGGTGGACAATTTGTAACACTGCTTGGCTTTTTTATGTGAGAAGGGTCTCTATCACCTACTTTATGGGCCCTCAAACTAAGGCCCACAGGCCGGATGCGGCCTGCCATGCCCATTTAATTGGCCCGCCCCACAGGTTTTGCATGGGTGTGGGCACGTGACTTGCCCACGAGGAGGTGGTTTTGGACTAGCTCAGAGAAAACAATGTCCTTGTGAGCAAGGCGGTGCCTCGTCCCACGCATCCCCTCTGTCCCCACCTCGGTTGTGCATGTGTGTACTCACACGCCCCGCCCCCTCACTGGCCCGTGCCCCGCCCCCCCGCCAGCACCGCCTTGGCGGCCCATGCCCACCACTGGCACCTGTGAACTGGCCCCCTTTCGAAGAAGTCTGAGGACCTCTGACCTGCTTGTTCAAACTCCTGTCTAGGAAAAACTGACCAGTGCGCAGGTGGCTGAAAGAAGTGGCAATTGACGCACAGATGGTGGCAGGACAGGGGTCAAACATGCCCCCATGGACAGTATTTTGAGGATGGTGGCTGGTAGACGAAAGCTTTGCACACAGAAAGCAATCAATTTAGTTCCTGCCATAAAAAAACTCTCTGGTTACAGAGGCTGGGGATGCTCCCAAATGGAGTCCTGAGACCTGTGGGTACCTTTGTGGAACTGGTGTAGACAACACCACCATCCAAAATGCCTAATCGAGGGATCGGCACTTTGGCCTCTGCATAGGCTGTGTCTTAGTTTGCATCGTTTTCAGCAAAGACATTGGTGTCTACTGGACAGTACAACTCCACTTTAATAACAGATTGCCAAATTCAGCTAATTGGGAGGGGTTCGATATAGCCAGTGCGTCGCTTGAACACGCTTCGGCAATGTCTGGTAGTTTCTTCTTTCCGGGCAGAGGTTATTACATAGATAAAATTTGTCCTGAAACAGTCTTTAATATTCACCGATGCCTTGTGCTTTAAAATTATTTACTTGGTTCATGGACATTAAGATATGGGAGGGGGAATGGTTTAGACATCTAAAGGCTGCACCTCTTAAAAAAAAAAGAAGTTGTTCACAGAAAACCGCAAGTTCAAGAACAGGGTTCAGTCCAGGAAAACCAGCTGCCAAATGCTAGATGTCTAAGTACAATCCAGAGATACCTTTCCAACAACTGCATTTATTCAAGCTGGCACTTGCGTGGAGGAGTTGTCGCTTTGTGTCTCCTCAGGAGGCCAGCCACCGCAGAGGACGTGTGAGCCAAGCGTTACCTGGTGCATGCTCGCTGGCTGACTGGCTGGCAGCCTGCCAGCAGGAGTTGCCCCTTCGGTTTGGCGATGGCCAGGCCAGTGGCCTGAGCGGGGAAGAAGCAGGCCAGGACGGCTCCCACACCGTCCTGCGCCTTGGTCCAGCTCACGTCAAGCGGGCCTGCGTTGAAGAGCAACAGAATCACTGGCTTGCCTGCCGCTGCAATCGAAGCGCCCAGAGGTTAGCAAGAAACAAGACCAGCTGATACTGTGCCATGCTGGTGAGTTCAGGACTCAGAGCGATGCAGCAGCAGTGGGAGGACTGGACGCGCCCCCAGCAGACTCGCCTGGGGGCTCGGCTCAGGTACGACTTCCCAGCCCAGGCTGCCTCAGAGAGACGTTGCGACGGTAAGATGAACTTGCGATGGAGAACCATGAATGGCTCTACGGTGGTCCGCTTAGTGTCCTGCAGATCTCTGGGACTGCAATTCCCACAACCTATTCACTGGCAAAGCTGGCTGGGGATGATGGGAGTTGTCCAAGATGGCTTGAAGGCACCAAGTTCCAGATCCCTAATGAACACCCATTTAAGTTCCTTGCCAGAAAGGTAGAATTTAAATATGTGTGCTGGCGAGGGACAGGGGGAGGGAAGGGAGGGAGGGAGGGAGAACTTAATTTTACTTTTTGCAGAATTTTAACAATTCTTTGTCAAGGAAGCGTATGATGGAAGGGAAAACAAAAGGGAGAAGAGGAGGCGACTGGGGAGGGAAGAACATTAAGGTGTTAGCTGCCAGGGCAGGAGAGGATTAAGGAGAGCATAGAGCAGGGCCATGCCCAGGGATGGAGGCGCGCTGACTCGCAGCTGCTGGGCTCTGTTTCTCCTGCAGGACTAGGCACCTGTGGGCGTTAATGGATGGATGGAGGAAGTGCATATGACTGTATAATATTTATTATACTGATATCCTGCCTGTTCTCCTTCTAAGGAACTCAAGGTGGCTTGCACAGTTCCCTCCTCTTCTCAGTCTTATCCTCGCAGCAACAACACTGCAAGATAGCTTGGGCTGAGAGGCAGTGCCTGGCCCAAAGTCACCAGCTGGCTCAATGGTGAGTGTGGATCAGAGCCCAAATTGCCCAAGTCTCAGCCCTGCGTTCTTAGCCACTACACCACACTGCCTCTTCGCAGAACCCTTGACCACAACCACCTCTGTGCTTCATTCTGAGCATCCATGCAGTTTCTTACCCTCTAAAGTTCTGCTGGAACTCATGGATTATTAAAGGGTAATAGATCTGCTAGGGAGAGCGAGCCCAATCACATACCTACACATGAGGCTGAAGCTTCCGGCCTGTACACAGGCCTCAAACTGAGGCAGGAAGGCCATGCGCCAGCCTCGCTCGTCCACCTGGCAGGGAGCACAGACATGACTTCCACCTGGCCTGCCACCACCACACCCATCCAAGCAACAGGACAGCGAGAAATTTGCAGGTCAGGTGCTCCTAAGCTGAGCGTGCCTTGGCAGAGGGCCTATTTTACGTTTCATCCAGCCTCTCTTTTCCTCACAATGCATTTCATCCTCACGACCCCCCTGTGAGATTGACCAGGCTGAGAGGAACAGGTTAGGCTGACATCACCCAGTAGCTGAGCGACTTAGGAAGCTGTTCCAACTTGGGAAGCTATGTGCTATGTCTAGTCTGCCCCAAGTGGCTAAAGGAGTTACTGCAGGTTTCAACTTTTGAATGAAAAAAATGAACGGATGCTCTTTAAAAAGAAACCACCCCCAATGCGCACCAGATGCCGTGTGCCTGTGCCACAATCCCAGGGCTAGAGTGGGACACGACTGCACATGCTCTTTCGTTGTTACGGGAGCCAGCAGGTAACATGGCAGGATACCGAGCGGCTGCTGTCGAAGAAGCGAAGGGGGAAAGGGCATGCCGAAGGAGCGTGACACAGAGCAGAAGCTGGCAGGTTCAGAGACCGCAGCCCTGGTCCCACCTGCAGGAGGCACGGACCTTGGCAGTAAAGGCGAACCAGGAGCTGGGGATGTTCTCAGGGCCTCCGTGGACATCGAAGTGTTCACAACCGGCACTGGCCTTGATGTAGCGGGGGTGGGTGCCCTGCAGCCCCCTCACAAAAGCCGCCCCAGCTCTGCTGTCAGGAATGGGTCCTCCTCGTACGGCTCCTAGGGGGACAGATGGGCAGGCAGAGACCACGGTCACCCTAATTCAGTCCTTTGGTGGCGTGTCCCTCCACCCAGCTCCGGGGGACCGCACCTTCCTGGCTCTTGTGCATTGCGACCCCTCGTGGTCCCACGTACGAGAAAGTGCATCCGTGCCACTGTTTCAGCTGCTCTGCACAGAATGACACACACGTCCACACAGGGGGGCTTGCAGGCATTGTGAGAGGATCGTGCTGCCAGCAGCTGCAGACTTTGCGTGTTTAGACAGACGGAAGTCCCAAACTCCACTCAGTGGCTGAGTCACGCTGAGCGCTGCAGGGCCTTTTTCTGTCTAAACATGCACAGGATTGTGTCCTACAATACGAAACAAAATCTTGAGGGCTGGGGAGGGGGCTACAGCTTCTCAGTACCCTAAGGCTGGTTAGACTGGGTACATTTGGGGGTCAGCTATGCAGTGCAGCATCTTACAGTCCACATTTATTCTAAAGCAGAGGTGCATAACCTTTGGTCTGGAGGACAAAGCTGCCCCCCTTTTGCTCAGTCACCAATTTTGGGGGGCATCTTGACTTTTGTAAGCCCCCCAGCATTCTTTAAGCTTGAAATGCATCTCCTAAGCTTTTCGTACTGACGGCAAGAGCTTTAAACTACAATGCGCTTGTATTTTTGTCCCCACGCTCCTTGTCCACCACTGGCATGCGGCTCCCGAGCATTTCTCCCCAGTGGAATCCAGCCCTCAGGCTAAGAGATGTTCACAACCCCGCTCTGAACAATCAGCACCTGGTTCCTGCCCCACAGTGGATGCCTCATGATGTTTAAGACTGGCTGAAGCAACTCAGGCCAGTGTGGTCAGCGTAGTAACCACGGGAGACGAAGTCCTTGTGCTTGGCACGGACCTCAGTGGCTGTGGCGTTGGCGACGGAGTAAATGAGCCGAGGGCAGTCAGGGAAGGGATGGGGAGCATGTTTTGTCAAGTGTGGTTCTCGCTGACAGGGGAAGTCTGTGTTCGGGCTAGATCACGTCAGGCTGCAGAGGAAGGGTCGCTATGATCAACGGGTCCTCTCAGTCTCTCAAAAGCTACACATCTGCACGTGGAAAAGTAATATATATGGGAAGTGGGCCGGCCGGAATCTTCTCTGGGGCTCCTTCAGCTGATGCCTTGAAGTACAGAGCTGGCCCATTGTACAGACACACTCAGTATTCAAGATTCCACCCCAGCTTTATTTGTTAATTAATTTAATACATTTATTAAAGTTTTCATATACCATCCAACTACTGTTCCGGGATGGATGGAGGATGCTGGAAGCTGTAATCCAACGTATCTTAAGGACACCAGTTTGGGGAATGCTAAGGTAGGTACATTCAGACAAAC